AAAAGAAACATTTTCAAATAAACGTCATCAACAACAGATGGTTCTCCGGTAAAAGTGCTTAATGTCATAAATGTAGACAGGGTCTTTCAAATAGAATATTTGAAAGACACTGGTGTAGTTCAATAGATTTAAATGATTATAACCTTGTCAAAATCAATGCGACCAGGTTGTTTTAAATTTTCATATATTACATAACAATGAACTAAATATAAATGTTCTACTTCCTTGAAATATTGATTTTAACTATTCACAGAAAGTAAGTTTGCATTTGTCCGTAAAGACTTGCAGTTTACAAATGCTGCGTTTCAAACCCATCCCATTTTTGCATAAAACACCCGAAAAATAGTTCAAAAATACCATTGTGCGCATTATAATTTCATACTTTATAAGGAATTTTCAGTGTCCTTCTAAATTGTATTTTAGAAAAGAACAGTTAGTAAAAGGATGTTTTGTCAGAAAAAATACATGTATACTGATTTAGAAAAAAAAATACTTAGAAAATCCGAAAAAAGGTAACATGGTGGTAAATAAGAGAAACAAATACAAATGAAATAGATAAATAAACTGCATGATCGTTTCTAAAATGCAATCTCGGATGGACATTTTTCTGTATTTTCTAAATTCATGGGCAGTGCGGTCTCTAAACATGTCCACACAGTTTATTGAAAAAGTCTTAACAGATTCTTAGCTGTGCCTACGTTCACCAAAATATGTGAGCTTTTCGTGATGAACATTAATTTTACAGCACAAGTTTAGTTAAATATCACAAACACATATTTAATTAGACTGTTTATAGATAGTACAAGCTAGTATCGCAGTTCATTCCGGATACAGCAACCACAAGGGTCATTCTATGAAAGGTTATTCCAGAAAAATCAATGCGAGTGCAAATTTAACAAAACATAACTATAGATCTTAACTCAAATCAATTTGTGGTATAAATTAAGCTTGTATCAAAGTTTTGTATTTTAATTTTTGTTGGTTTTGTATACCCCATCCCATCCAACAATACTTTACTTTTTCGAAAGTTGTACCACAAAACATGTGTACTTTATCCATTTTATGTTAATTGCTGCACATATTTCTATTAAATGTTCATGTATCTTTTATAAGATGATGGTAATTGATAAACTGACATGTGCAATCGTTATAAAACTTGTTACACTACAAACAGTATTTGTCAGATTCCATTCCATGAAAATGCTCGAGAATTAATCATTTAGACAGCCAAGGATAAAAGGAACAATTTCATACAAATATCACCATACATGTTGCCTTTGACCGTGTGCTTTATCTTATACATTGATAACCTTGTCAGCAACCACTCTACGCAGTGTATTTTATCAGATATTTTTTGTTTATTTAGAAAATAAACATTCTGGCATACAAAGGTCAAGGGGTAATGAAAGCGGGGTATACATAAGCATAAAATTAAATAAATGCGTTATGATTTCTAAAATGAGGATAAAATGAAACAAATACGTTATGATTTCTAATATGAGGATAAAATTAAACAAATGCGTTATGATTTCTAATATGAGGATAAAATTAAACAAATGCGTTATGATTTCTAATATGAGGATAAAATTAAACAAATGCGTTATGATTTCTAATATGAGGATAAAATAAAACAAATGCGTTATGATTTCTAATATGAGGATAAAATTAAACAAATGCGTTATGATTTCTAATATGAGGATAAAATAAAACAAATGCGTTATGATTTCTAATATGAGGATAAAATTAAACAAATGCGTTATGATTTCTAATATGAGGATAAAATAAAACAAATGCGTTATGATTTCTAATATGAGGATAAAATAAAACAAATGCGTTGTGATTTCTAAGTAACTTTGATAGTCTTTCTGTATTTGGAAGTATATTCTGAAATAGGCAGTATGGTGTGTAAACGTGTTCAAAAATCTTATCATAAAAACTTTAAACAGTATAAATTAAAATTACATCGCAGTTTTATTTTGAAATCAAATAAAAATGAATCTATAATAGATCAAATCTGGACGACTTTTTCCCAAAAGCAGTTGCTAGAAAAAAATCATCAGTCACTGTTGTGATTGAGGTTGCCTCTCCAAATGTGCTTGATCTCAAATGTTCTTTCAAAAGATTAAATTAGTCATAACTTTCTTAGCAACCACTGCAATGTGAAATATGTAATGCATCCCAATCTATTGCTTGCCATGTACAATTTCTTCCCTATGCATACAAGAAGGCATATTGACATACAAAAATTATCATTGCACCTCTGCTGGAGACATATACATTAAGAGTGGTACATTCTAGTGGTATATTCGAGGAAAAGCTGGAGAAAATGCTGTTCAAAAGACTGCAATAAAGAATATATGATGTTCCAAACGTACAAAGAGAAATGGTCATTCCAGAGACAGCAATAGACTATTATGATATTCCAGAGACAGTTGCCAAATGTCATGATTGGTTTTTTTAAGACACAGCTACAATTAGGAAGGTCATTGCAGAAACAACAACAGGGCCATGGTGGCCAGAAATCGCTCACCTGTTTATAAAACTCTCCATGACAAGGAACATATATTAGTACTATTGTAGTCTATAATAAAATCTAAAACAGACGAAAAGCGATCACAAAAACTCACCATGTCACTTTGTGACAGGTGAGCTAACAAAAAAGAAAAAGATCAGTTCAGAGCAAAAACGTCATATGACTTCAGAGAAAGAAATGTGACTATATGACATTACAGATACTGCAACAAAATTGTCATTCAAAAGACAACATTTAAAAGAATCATTCCAGTGACAGCAAACAAGACGAGGTTTGTTTGGGTTTTACGTCACATCGTCACAGTATAGGTCATATCGCGACGTTCCAGCTTTACTGGTTGAGGAAGACCTCCGGTGCCCTTCCGTGCATTATTTCAGGCACGAACGGGCACCTGAGTAGAACCACCGACGTACCGTAAGCTAGCTGGATAGCTTTCTCACATGAAAGAATCAAAAGTCCCTGCCGGGATTCGAACCCACAGTGGCGAGGGGCAATCGGTAATTCCAGATAAAGCCAGCAATAAAGGATATTCAAAGGTCACATTCAAGAATACAAAGTAGCATTCCAGAAACATGTATACATACAAGAAGGACATTCAGGAGAAGCAAATTTGACAGAAGGACATTCAAAGAGAGATATTATGTCTCATTCTTATTACATTATTCTCTTTGGTGACATTCCATTAAAAAAACATCATGGTGAGTTTTAGTACCTTTTTATTTCTCAAAAAAATGACATAATAAGCTAACAAACTTAAATAACAAAAATACAAAATGTTATAAAAAAACTCAACACAAACAAGCTGCCACAAATATATATATATTCAATATATATTGAGGGTTGACCGTAAAACTGTTGTAAGTCTTCCTTCATTTGATATAAGTTACTGCATTTTTGCGGTCAACCTTTGAATTACATAATCATGATATAGTTGCAATTTTTATGACTTTAGAAGCGTTATGAAATTTTCTTGTAACTTATTTTGAATATTTTCTGATCAAAAACACAAATTTCTTTTACTTGAATAAATAGCATATCAAAAGAACTTAATATACTTTAACCAAAAATTAACCATATTCAAACTAAGAACTTTAAAAAGAATAGGTATAACTTAAAAAGCCCTAGAGACAATTTTATTGGCAATGTTGACTTTGGCATGTTAATATGTTGACATATATAGTGTATAATGAACAAAAATTTGTATACTTTCTTAGAAAATATCAATCTTGACTCAATCTTATTTAATATAAGTAAACAGTTGGTCCCTGTTATGTTAAATGTTTTTTTCGTATTTCACAGGAGTGTAAAACACACAGTAAAATCAAACAGATACAAATGCCTTGTTATTTATAAATGCAATATCATACTATCTATGTTAAGACCTAATCTAAGTGTACCAAAAACCCCATTCCCCTCGTGTAATAAAACAAAACAAACTTCATTTCCACATCAAACTTGGAATACAAAACTTACTAAGCTACCAACGGCAACAAAATCATAAAATGAATTCACCTTAGTGTTGTTTGTGTACCTTTTTAACAATTCTATAACGTTTTGAATTAACTCTTTAATAACACTAAGTCTTAACATACATAAGGTAGACAATTTGCAGTGAAATAATTCGAAATCATTCCTGTATCATTGGTGGGAGACATGTTCATTAACAGGTTTTTATCTTGTCACCTTTGTGCAGTAACAGGTTAACTCCTTATATAATTTAATAGGAGTTAACCTGTTACTGCACTATGGTGACAAATTCTACAGAGTATAAAAGTAAAAAAAATTCCAGTGATGTGTAAGGAAAAGATTTTTTTTCTTCTACTGACTAGCACCAAATATAAGTAGCAATTTGTTTACTCTATCTATAGTCTACTATCATAAAGTGTGACTAAATTTTAAAAAAAATTGTAAAAAGATATCTCTGGCAGTAGAGTATAAATCCTAAAATACTGGACAGGTAGGTTTATAAACTTGCAACAAATTGTATAAGTATCCCCCCACCAGATTTCTGGCAATTTTAAAAAATTGTGTGATATTTTTTTATACTTTTTACTTAAATAAAATGCAAATATATATTGTGCCAATTTATAACACTGATTTTTACAAACATTCATATTCAGTCAGATAAATTTGCAGTATTAAATTATAAGCATTCATGAAGCGTTAAATTTTTACATAATACCAAGTTCGCAAATTCATTTCCCTTATGAATTTAAACTTCGTAATATAAGAACATTTTAATAATTGAGTTTAATATCGAGACATGCTGCTTTTACATGTTTAATGTTGCCCTATAAATACATTGAATAAAAGTTAGAAAACCTCTCACACTGTCAACCTTCGTAACAAAAACTTTTGTACCATCAATTATGATTATCTTGACATCATTTTACTTGATTTTTGCTTTATCTCGATCAAATTTTGGAAGCCATGATCCCTTCAATTTAAACTATATAAAATATACTTGTTTATCTAAACTTTTGTCATCCTGAAATTTCAGTTAAGACCATTATAATTTGCCACCTTAATTCAGCAACAGGTCAACTCCTTATATAATCTAATAGGAGTTAACCCGTTACTGCACAAAGGTGACAATATGTTTATTAATATCTGCAGCTATCTTTAAGTTCTTTAAGTGCAGGTAGAAATAACAGATCATCAACTTCATGCAGTAACGTGTTAACACCTTATATAATTTCTAAGGAGTAAAATCATTACTGTCCCCATGAGTAGATGCTAGTTATTAGGCAGACCATCTTACATGTATATACAGCTTGACCAAACTCTATAGACCACTATTGGCCATTCAAATTTAACATGAATTTTCAAAAGTATTCAAAAGCTCAAAATCTTTTAGTATGTGCTCATTTTCTCCTACAAATGTCCTTTAAGACAGGTTAAATTGCCTGAAAATTTCTTGCTATAATCAATTATGAATTTAAATCAAAAACTGCCAGTTCAAGAGCAGTTCTTACATTAGATTTTCTTTTTAAACAAGAACACCAAAACAACAATTTGTGACAAATACAAGACATGTAGAAATCGTATGTAAAAATATCACAGTTACAGTAAATTATACATATAATTTATGGATCTGATGCAAAATAGTCATACAAGTTACAACTGTTTTGCACCAAATCCTTGACATATGGTACAATTATTTTCTTCAATAACATAGAAGAATACAACCTGCAAAAAATTAAAAGAAATAAAATACATTTCAAAATATAATGAGGAAGCCATTGCTTAAAGTAGCCAATTTACTACAATTAATGACGGTGGTCGGGAAATGATTTCTGAGAATATTCAGACAGTGAATATATTTTTAGTAAACAAGCAATGGCTAGAAGTAGCCAATTTGCTTCTTATTATGCTAGTGTGGTGGTTCTTAAAATATTATCAAAATGTGTGTGTGTGTGGGGGGGGGGGGGGAATAGAAAAAATTATCAATTTGTGACAAACAATTAATATACAGTTGTTACAAATTCACAATCCTGGTAGACATTTTGAGACAATGACTTCATCAGGGTATATTTAAGTGAAATGATTTCTTATATGTTTGTAAATTAAATATAAATTAACAAAGAATGAATATGGGAGAATGACATTCACTCACAAATGAGAAGTAGGTTTATGTAATCACCTTTCAATTAAAACAGAAAATATTGAGACATTTTAACCTGATTATATGAACAAACTGTTAAAGTGCTTGGACCAAAACAGGTTGTTTTTACTAAAATAAGCCCATGTATGTGCATGTATGTACAAATCAGTGCAAATATTCTGCTTAATCACATTGGGTGTGTTTTGGAAGAACTTTAAGTTTTCATTGTGAGTGTTGCATACATGTTACATAAACCCTTATTAAATTTTGTAATACTACATTTGATTGGTTATTTCTGAATACAACGTTGCATATAAATTTCCATATTAACATATGACATAACTTAATATCTACATAGTTTTTGTCAGTTCAGATAAATAAGGCGTGTAAGTGGGTAGATCTGAACTGTACAACTGTGTTGGCAGTGGTGTAAATCTATCCTGCAGTCTTGAGCACATTGTAACGTTTTAGTGTCATTCGTAACGATCCTAGCTCTCGTTCCACAGCATCTAATTTATTCTCTAGTTCCTCCTGCAAGCAGAACATAAAAGGGGGGATTGGATTTACGTCACACCAACACAGTATAGATCATTATAGGCAACTTTCAAGCTATAATGGTGGAGGAAGACCTCAGGTGCCTTTCGGTGCATTATTTCAGGCAGAAACGGGCGCCTAAGTAGAACAATGACGTTCCATAAATTATGAAATATTAAACGTTTCATTAACATCAAATAATCTCAGTCTGAATATTTACTTTGAATAAAAGGTGCCTTTCGTTTGAATTGCTAACATTAATCCAAAGTTACTCCACAGTACAATTAATGTGATGATCTTTGTTGTTTATATTTGAAGAGAAAAGTTACAAGATCTGCAAAGTGACTTCATAACAAGTTTTTATGATTCAGAAACAAGAATTAAATCAAAACCAATTTTGATATATATTATCTACCATGCATACTTATAAAACAGTTCAACTGGTACAAGTAAGTTATATTTCTTCTAGTCAAATCAAAATCACAAAATATGCAAGTTACTGAAAAAAACAGACACAATACATTTATCTTAAGTTCACAGTTTATTTGAGACATTGTAAAAATGGCAATATATTTAATAATTTAAATATTTATAATTGATAAAATATTAATACCTTTTGTTTTCTGTTGTTCCTATCCACTCTCCCATGTAGAGGTATTTTATTAATACTGGATTCAAGCTGTCGTTTCTCCACCTGTAGCCCATCATATCGACTCTCCATCTCTGCTATAGAACGTAACCTGTCCTTGACCTTCTCTTCCTGGAGATATAAAGATAACTGTATACAGTAAGCAAACTCATTGGGACATTCAAAATCTGTTCCCTTATATCTGCAGTTCCTTGTAAGCATATAGCGAATTAGTTCCTTGTATCAGGAGTTTTTATAGTGAACAGATTTACATATAATGAACTGATTGTTTACCATCGTCCTCCATTTTGAAGAGAATTTGTTTAAGAAAAATAACTTATTTGGGTTAGTCATTAGGAATAAAGATTTCGAGTTTCCTTCATTTAATATTGAATATTTTCCATCATATTTTTAGGGTGACCTTTACTTATGAAAGATATAGATTTCTTTTTATTTCAATCAAGTGTACTTTGTAGTTTTCAATTTATTTTACATGTGTAATTATGTTGAAAACTGATTGTTAATTATCATAATTATTTTCCTCGAGCAAAACTATTAAAGAAAAGAAATAGTGGAATAAAACGAACATTCGTTTTTATCCTGGTGACAAAGACTCATGCTAAAAATATCCTAAATAGAAAGCTATTACGTACTGCTAACAAATTCATTTTCATAGCTGTATTGAAGTACATACAACAATTAAACGGTACATTTGGTTGAGCTTTAATCCATGCCAATGACAACGAAAGTAGAAAATGCTAGATATATTTAGAGATAGCCAATATTTTGGGGCTCCCAATAGAATGCTCTAAATGACAAAATAGAAAATGTTGCTGGCTTCAATTTTATTGAGCCTGATCACGGGCAGTTGTGGTAGGTGCAAGCTACAGCCTATGCCCCCCTAGCAACAAGTTAAGTAGTATTCAACATTTCAATAGGAACCACAATTACATGAATATCTCACCATGTTTCTAGGTGCGGACTGTGTCTCAGATTTAGGTTTAGCTAAGGACGTGTAGATATTCTCCCACTCAGGTCGTGTTGTGAACTGACCATGTCTCATCATGTCCAGTGTGTTCTCTATCTGACCTTCTGCACCTATAGTGAAAATATTTCATCATTTGTTTCAATATGTTTATCATGTGAACTGTACATGTATGTATTTAGTTTTCATCAATGAGATATGATTCATCTCGATCACAATGCATCATTCCTACTGAAAACTATTTCTGCATCATATAATAAAACAAAAATCTTTAGGTTTTTTTATTGTCATTTATATTTTCATAATAGTTATCATCTTACATTTAAAACTAGAAATGTGTCCATAGGACAAGAATGCCCGCATATTCTATTGTTTTGTCAGTCATCAGACAGTGTGACAGCACAACAGTCAGAGTGAGATGGACATGCAAAACAAATCTAATTGCCCCTCTTCTATGTTTAATGTTAGGGCAATGTAAATTGCTGTGTAGAACCTATATCTAACATACTTTATCTTTTTCTAATCAGTTGAATTCACTCAATATTAAATTTCTGAACAAAATCTTGCTTCATAATTAAATACTTATACCTAAAGTAAAAAGGAAAGTCAGTCTGCCTGTCTCCTGAAACTAGGACAGTTGCACCTTAACTTTAATGCAGGTAAAGGTCATTTCAGAAATTTGTAAAATAAAGTCAAATAAAATATAACTAAAGCTGACACTACTGGCACTAAATACCACAAAATCAATTTGGTAATATCATATAAGTTTTAGCTTCAACAGTAAAAAAAAAATTGTTCACAAATGACAGGTATTCACAAATCTTCATCTTAGTGCAGTAACAGGTTAAGTCCTTCTAAATTTAATAGGAGTTAACCAGTTATTACACTAAGGTGACAATATTATTCACAAATCATTCAGATCAGTTGAACAGATCAACAAACCTTGGCTGGAATAATTGTCCTTTGTGCTATTTTTATCTTTAGACTGGTCCCTGGTTTCACCATTTGTCAAGTTTTTCTGTTTCCCTGACTGGTTATCCACTTTTCTTTGACTCACTGTTACCGACTTGTCAGCTTCATTAAAATCAATGTCAAACCTGAAATAAAACATAAAATAAATTAAGATATCAGATTTTAGTTAAAATATTGTATTGATCACAATTTTTACATAGCATGTAAATTTTCTAATTCAAATATTTAGACAGTCTATTGAAAAATAACTATGACCCCTGAATAACATTGAAGTTCAAGGTCGTATTTTTAAAGTATAGGAAATTTTAGACAGTAGCTTTATATTCATCTTCATTAACATATTTCGTATGGGAGGTGAGTTATTTTTCAATAGACGTGTACACTAAAATGAAGCTTTTAACTCTTAACAAGACATATGCTGGGTCTTTGCATCGAAGCTAAAGCTTATGAAGTGAATATGTGATAACCACAGTTAAACTTGATCATACAGAGAAAGACAGTCTTAGAGCAATTATGCCATCCCATCCTCTCCTCTGTGAAGGATATCAATGAAAAATACTTTTGAATTATTTTTTTTTTTTTTTTTTTTTTTTAAATAATTAGTTAATTAGTTGGATTTGAGTAAAAAAACTGTTGCAATGCTTTTTATTTATTGGTGATTTGCACAGTAAAATTGATTATTGTGGAAAAACAACACAAAGGAATGGCCTGAAAATTTGCACAAAAGTTATTGCTCCAGAGCTTTATCAATTGGTACCTAAAGCTCAGAAAAATAATTCCAGTCCTGTCATGTAAAAAAAATCTTAGTGGAGTCCCTTTAAGTTGTGAATGAAATAAAAATAATCATTAGGCAAATTTCTAAAGATCATGAATAAGGCCCCACATTAGGACCACAAATTGCCATGTTTCACATCCAGGTAAGTACATGAAGACTTGTGATTCTTATGACTTTTTAACATAACTGAGGCTGTTTCAAGATAATCAGTTCAATCAAAAGGCTTGTATGTTATACTTTATTATGAAATACTTTATACCAAGTTGCTGCCCACAGATTATTTGCCTCTCAGTCATGTTGATTCAAATCATGCAAGAGATGTTTAAACGTTACTTGTATGTCTGCTTCTAACCAGGTGCATCATTTGTGCATGAAAAACTCATAGAGGCATTCAAGCTGTTTTTTATTTCTAAATCCATAAAGCTGGCAGATCAATATAATTAGGACATCAATCATATACATGTATGTTTAATTTAAAACTTAAAACAATTAGAAATTCTACAGACCTAGTAGAAGTGTCTACAAGCTCTTCTCTCCTTGGTGGAGTTTTCTCCCTTTGTCTTCCATTTTCTCTCTCCATTTTTTCCTTTCCTCTTTCCCTTCGATCTTGATCTTTTCCTGATCCTCGATCTTTTGACTTAGTGCTTTTCTCAGATTTAACCGAGCTTTGACGTTTTGAGCTAGATTTATCAGATTTGACAGGTGTTTGGCTAGATTTAGTTTTCGCTACACTAGAGTGACTGCTAATACTGGGTTTTTCTTTCCGTCCCCTTTGCACGCCTAAATCCGGAGTATAATCATCCGTACTGGAGGGCCGTTCACTTCCATAAAATTTCTTCTGCAGTTTAATCGGAGGCGGTGAAGAACTTGGTTTCACGGCAACTGCCTGGCGCATCATGTCACGTAGCTTGAATAATTCTCTCTCCGCCTGCAAATATTGTTTTATAAATCATTTACCAATTTGCTCCTGGTGAAATCAAAGTGGCGTTCTGCCATGATATGGAGGGTAAACTACAACAAGAGCTGTCGGTAGGACAGCAACGCTCGACTATTCTTAGTGCTTGATAGTAAAAAAAATGCTTGATACAGTTACCTCCTCCTGTTTACAGGTTGGGGTCATGATGGTGAACAAGTGTGCAAAGTTTCAAAGCCATATGTCAATGGACTTTGAAAATATTTGAACTATTACAAAAACTTTAACGTAAATTCTAAGTCGAAAAAGGGGCATAATTCTGTCAAAATGCTTGATACAGTTACCTCCTACTGTTTACAGATTGGGGTCATGATGTTGAACAAGTGTGCAAAGTTTCAAAGCCATATGTCAATGGACTTTGAAAATATTTGAACTATTACAAAAACTTTAACGTAAATTCTAAGTCGAAAAAGGGGCATAATTCTGTCAAAATGCTTGATAGAGTTACCTCCTCCTGTCTACAGGTTGGGGTCATGATGGTGAACAAGTGTGCAAAGTTTTAAAGCCATATGTCAATGGACTTTGAAAATATTTGAACTATTACAAAAACTTTAACGTAAATTCTAAGTCGAAAAAGGGGCATAATTCTGTCAAAATGCTTGATAGAGTTACCTCCTCCTGTCTACAGGTTGGGGTCATGATGGTGAACAAGTGTGCAAAGTTTCAAAGCCATATGTCAATGGAGTTTGAAAATATTTGAACTATTACAAAAACTTTAACGTAAATTCTAAGTCGAAAAAGGGGCATAATTCTGTCAAAATGCTTGATAGAGTTACCTCCTCCTGTCTACAGGTTGGGGTCATGATGGTGAACAAGTGTGCAAAGTTTCAAAGCCATATGTCAATGGACTTTGAAAATATTTGAACTATTACAAAAACTTTAACATAAGTGGTTACGCCGACGCCGACGCGGACGCCGACGCTCGGGTGACTGCAATAGCTCTACTTATTCTTATCGAATAGTCGAGCTAAAAACCACAACCACCACCTCCTTACAAGACATGCATACCAGTCTCACTCACTGTACCATGTATTTGCCAACAAGATGACAAACCCATTATAGGGATATGAAAGTGCTTATTTTTTATTTTCCATGGTTATATTTTCATCATTTGGTGTGAAGTTAGAAAAGAAAATCATTAAATCTACACTTTGTTCATGTCTACCATAAAGTATAGAATTTATACATACAGTGAAAAATTAGGAAGATATAATTCAGGAAATATTTGAAACAAGGAAGCAATGCCTCATAATTTTTTACAAAAATAGTTTTAATCACTTCTTGTTCTACTAAAAATAGTTTGAGAATATGTTCAATGTATCTCAATGGATCAATGCTATTTTTCTTTATCATATATATCATGTACAGTCAGATCAAGTTCATATATATTAAATTACCTTCAATAGTGGAGAGTAGTCTGATACTTCTGATTCTGCCTGACTACATGGTGATGCTGATCTTGGTGGAGTTAACTCCCTTCTTGGTGGTGATACATTTCTCCTAGGTGGAGTTGTGTCCCTTACTGGCCTATCATCACCTTCTTTCCTTCTAGACTGTGATCTACATTAAAATTTTTTTTCAAATATTACAAAATTTATTTGCATTATGCTGATTCAAGTATAAATAGTGAATTTTCAGGTTTAAAGTTATGTGACACATCTTTTTGTTGTTGTTTGGTTCTACTTCACACAACCACAGAGTAGGACATATGGTGACTTTTCACCTTTCCTGGTGGAAAAAAACCTCAAGTGCCCTTCCTTGCACAAACGGGCAACTGAGTAGAACCACCAACATTTCATAAGCTAGCTGGATATGTTCCTCACTTGATTACTCCATAGAACATGTCAGGATTTGAATCCACAGCCGCGCGAAGCCAGTGAAGTTTGAATTAAACTACCTTAACAATTCGGCCACAGACGACCCTTTAGGCATCACATTTAAAAACAAGACTGTACTGCTCCTATTTTGAAAGCTTTTTCTTGAACCTTGGATTAAGTGAATGTTTTACCTAAACAGAGTAAACCTTAGTAAAGAGGGAATCTTTAGATCAAGTGCTGGGCATGTGTTAAGTTATTCATCAGTAAACTAATACTAAGAGAGATACAAAAAAATAACTGAGTATTACTATACAGTGATATGTTTAAGATACCTGTTAGTCACATCTTCTCTTGATGACGATATAGACGAATCTCCACGGATATTTTTAGCACCGGTTGATTTCTCTGATTGTCTCCCTTTACTTGATTCTACATCCTCCTTTCTTCTGGATTTAGAAACCTTTTTCTCCTTCTGTACAACTAAAGAGTAGGATACATAATATTATTGTCTATACTTTTGTTTTACTGTACAAATTTAAATCACAAATGAATATTACAGTGAATATTTTAGTAAAGAATGTGATCTTACTGTATCTAAAATCGCTTACTGTAAAATCATTATTATTCGTGGGGCACGAATTTTCGTGGTTTTCGTGGGTAGGTCAATCCGCGAATTTAAGATCCGACGAACTTTTATCCCAACAAATACTTCTTACACAGTCTCTGTTCTATATATAACAAACATGCGTCGGCTCTTTTCCGGCCGATATTTCGTGAAATGGATGTAAGTACAGACAGATAACCAGGTTAGTGACATATTAAATCCGTTTGCAATATTTAAGAAACTTGAAAGAAAACTCGATTATATGTCCTCAATTTACTGTCACAAATGTCACGTATACATACTTGATCGTTGTAGTCTACTAGGACTTGATTGTGTTAACAAGAATACTTGACATAATCGAGTTAATATGGGAACCCAGGCAGTGCAATAATTAGCGCTAATAAAAATTGTCAGTTTGCTCTTATTAATTTTAAAAAAAGTCTTTGATATTAATGTCGTAAGTACACAAAACTATAAAAAATACGATCGCTAAAACAGATTTATTCTACATTCTTTTGTCGTTTTTAAATGATCCAGTTTATATGAATTTTAATATGTATTTGTGCGAATGCTATTCCGTAAACATCAAAGACGCCACCGACTTTTACAAGATCCACATATACTCGTGTTATTTACCAAGAATAATATATATGCATGTAAATTTACACAGTCTCTGTGACGTTGCGTGTAGTTACTGTCAAATATGTTAAGACCAATTCAGGGTGTAAACTTTTAAACTTACATGCATACAAATAAATTGTGGAGATTACTTGTGTAATCTAACATATAAAACAGCCTTTCCCTTAAATAGATGTGGTACATGAAGACATTATGAGAGTCAGACTTTGAACACCCTTTAAGTTATTTAAGATTTTGTCAGGAGTGGTTCTTTACTAGTGCAGGAAGACCCAAGATTCCTTTCTTGGTTTTAAGACCCATCAACACAATTTAGGTCATATGGTGCCAAAACAGGAAAGATGATTTTGACTAACTCCTGGTGTTACAAACTTAAAAGCATCAGCAGGGGTCAAAACCACCTCACCTGCTGGAGCTAAGAGATATAATAACTCAAGTAATTCAAACCCATTTAGTGACCTCTTATGATCACCAGGGATAAATCATTCCTGCAATTCATATGCCACAACCCTTTCAGGCAACCCCTGAGCCACAAGGAGGCAGATTTCCTTCCATAAATCATCTCTGGCTTCAGCTTGCATCTGAGTAGAACTACTGACCTTATATAAGTTACCTAGAAGGCCTCCATAATCAAGCCACTAGTGAAATTCAAACCCATAAACACAAGGAGCAAGTGTCCTGATGTCTGCGACTTTAACCATTTTGCCATGGAGACACTTTAAGAGAATCTTTATCATTATCTAATTATTACTATTAGTGTTTACCTGACTGCTTGCTTGAGTTAAATTCTTCAGTTCTTGACCGGTTAGTCTCGGCAGATTTTGGACGGGATTTCTGAGCCGGTGTCCAATCCTTCATTGACGTGGCAAACCCTGGTAGCCTACCATCAGGGGGACCAGACTGTGACATGCTCAGGGACGTATTAAGCCCAGCAGAGGCTGCTGAGTGAGATGAAAGAATATTCTGCACATCCCTCGGAGATGATGGACTTCCAAACGATTCATGAAGTGTTGACAAACTGTTAAAATAATGTCAGGGATGAAAGTTAGAACAAAATTAATTCAAAGCATATATTGTAAATAACAAACTAGAAATTCTACAGTAAAACTGTTGTAGAAAGAGTGAAATATGATAGCTTTTAGCACTAATTAGCATTTATGAACATTACTGAACCTACTAAGCTCATAAGGACAGTAAGACCACTTTTATCTTACAATTACTTACATACAGAAGCATTATATTTTTACTATAATAACTTCTCAAATAATAAAAAACTTCCTTTTTGAATACATAAAGATATAAACACAATAAAAATTGTGACTTATAAAAGGAATTTCTTTATCTACATGTTGTTTTCTTTGAAACAAAAGTTAACAAACATATACAATATGTTAGAACCAGATATCAGCACAAAAACAATGTCTGTTTATACAAAAGTAACAAAAATGTTAGATAGAAATCAGGCTAAATTACTGTAATCTAGACAGTCAACAACCACAAACATACTTACACACTTAAGAAAGGAACATGAAATATATTGCAATATACATAAACTTTGGAACTTCATGAATACAATAAATATAGTTTGTATTTTTACAATTTTACATTGTTCAAAAAATCTAATATACTGTTTATTCTGACATGACCTGTGTTTTTCCCTATTGGACATAGAAGGCCTGAAAGTGAGTATTATTATGCAATAAACCCACTGTTTATGTTTTCCAAGCATCCGAACGCCAAACAGTGATTTTATTGAGCGATAAAATCACTGTTGGGATATATTATTTCTTAAATAATAATTATTTCTTAAATAATACATGATCAAATATACTGAATTTACAGAGAAATTAGATGATAAAATAAGTATATCTACAGAAGTGACAGGCAAAATGACTTGATCATTGAGGCCTCAAAACTTACTAAGCTACTAGAAATGTGTGCATATGACACAGATGCCCCTACATTCCATCGTTTTGTCAGTCTAAGGATAGACATTGTGATAGCAGACAGACGGACAAGGCAAAAGAGCAGGCATAAAAATCCATATTTGAATACTGCAACACAATTTCTATATCAGACGATCAAATTAAGCAAGGGTCATTATACTCATCTACAATCCAATCAATCTTACGCATAATGGTTGAGATCTTGTATTTCAAATCCTATATGCTAAAGTAATATAATCTCCACAAAGTTTTTCAGGGTTCGGAAACCATGGTGATATAAGATTTTAATACTGATAAATATTGAGGTACAATGGTACAACAGATGTTTCAAAACTTACTTTAATGACTGCGTAACTTTGTGTCGTAAGTTGTCATTTTCTCTCCCTAGTCGCTTGTTCTCTAGTTCTAACTTTGATATGATTCTGAAAATATAACAAAACTGACCCTGAACAATTTATAAAATGACTTTATCTTAACACCACCTATACTATGACAAAGTATAAGACAAACATTATTTATAGAATCCAGATTTACAAAATAACACTTAGGTTTCTCTCCAAGCATGAATTTTTTTATTATCAGTGGGGAACAAATAAAATAATTCATATTCGGGTTATCGAAAACCAAAATGGAAAAAAACATAATAAGGCCAACCACTTAACATGACTTGTTCATCCCTAGACCCAGTGCTCTGCCTACTAGGCTAAGAAAGCTGGCAAAGAAACGTTGTGAATATAAAAATAAATTGGTATATAGTACAGTATGATATTTTACCTATTAAGTTCAACAATCTCTGTCCTCGTTTCATACAGTTTGTTTTCTGTAGTACTCATAGTCTCTTGTAATAGCTTGTATTCCCTTTCCAATGACTCGTATCTGTCCAACATCTATTATAATATATTACATGATATATGAATTATCCCTGCCTTCAATTCACATATATTTTTATTGAGTTTATATGTCAAATTAAATCATAAATAATTGACAGACTATTATCATGTTGAAAAAAAAACAAAAACAAAAAACAAAACAGGCAACATTAATCCTTTTTTTTCTTCGCTCTTTTTGAGTTTTATTGAAAAAAGAAATAGAGCTAAGTCCAAAATAAAGAAATCAAGTAAAGCTTAACATATTATAACGGAGATACTGGTTACAAGAATCTGGTAAAAGTGTTAGATGTCTTGAGGGCAATGAAAACATGGTTAAAAGTGAAAATTGCAATTTTTCATTAAAAGACTATCAGAGTGAGTATTAATAAAACAGCAAATTAAGTTAGTCATACCCTTTGTAATGCTATTTTATCTTGTCTATGCAGCTCTATCTCGTCATCTAAGTTCTTCTTGTATATTTTCACGCTGTCGTCATTGGTTACCATTTTTGATTCAAGTTCGTTGATGAGATCGTCACGTTCTCGACAGTATCTCTGTAGCTCCTCGATGTGTGCCCGATGTTGTACACTCATTGTCTGAGAGTCAGCATAAGCTGCTGCATACTCGCTCTAACATACAAATTATCAACAATTGATGATGTAAAAAACTGTTAAATAATCATAAAGACGTACATCACTTAACATAATGCGTAAGTTTAACTATTTCATATTGATTCTACCAGTTTTGGTAGTACTGTACCTTAATCAAGAATACAACAATTAGAAAACATCATACATGTACAAATGACCAAGTTTTATGAAAAATACAAATATACTAACAAGCTGTAGATTACAACTTGTTAATAACAAGTCAATATCTTAAATGAAATTATAACAAAGTTAATATTTCTATTTTTACATGGCAAGGCTTATTTTCCCAACAAAACTGACCAAATTTTTTAACAAAATTTTAAACTTTTCTTGTAACAAAAGAAACATATACATGCACTTTTAACACAGTAAATATTTGAACAAAATAATATAACTTAGGTAAATGATATTATAAAATATACTCACAGCCCTTTTTTCAAGACCATGATTCTTCTGTTCAAGGGTTCTTACTTGTCTGAAATTAGAACGTTAAGATATTTGTAAATATGAAATAAAACTGCTAAAAAGGCATAAGAAAGAAAGAGCAATTGACAACCACTGTAAGAGGTGCATCTTTAATGCAATAAAAATGTTCTTTTGGAAGAACAAGTGAAGAGCTGAAAGTAAAATGTTTTTATTAAGTCATATATTCCTTTGCATGTTCTCAGGTGCCATTAAGGCATGGATATCTGTGTTTTCATTTTGTACAGATTGAACTTGTGTGGAAAAAAAGTTGCTTATGCAGTGAACAGACAAAGGCTGCTTATTGGGTTTTAGAGACCAACGAAGATTTAAGAAATAACCCTAAAATATCAACAAAGGCAGTACGTTTTGAAAATCTTACTTCTGCACTTCTTCCATTTCATCCTCCAGCATGCGGCATTTATCAGACAACTGCCTATTCTCCGCCTCTAGAAGGGGATCATGTGCTGACGACTGTAACGACGTGTTGACACTAACTGCTGACGCATCCATTGTATCAGACAGTGCTTTACGTAACTCTCTCAACTCATCTTCGTAATATGTCCTCAGATCATTTAAATGTTTTGCGTGTTTCTCTCTCAGGTTCATACGTGTACTGAAAATAAACATTAACCACAGACGCCTTTTAACCCTCATCTTAAATGGAAAAAAAAAATTCAGGGAAAATACCTAAATATTACTAAAAAGTGGACAGTGCAGCTCATGATATCAATGAAAGTAAACTACAATACATAACATACAAACACTTCAAGACAATCTTGAGGTAAAAACATCTGTGTTAACAATTGTTCAACCTAAAGCCAACTGGCAACAACTGACATTAATTTCCAATGCGACCAGTGCTGACCAAAATCAGCCAGCACATTCAAGCCATCGCATTCATGCCATTTAATTATGGTCTACACTATTCATTGGTATATTTTTGATTTTTTTCTTTAAAATGATGTGTGGTTTAGATCGAAATATGGACAAGTTCATTTAAGATACTTCGGTTAATACGGGTAAATGTAAATCAAAAATGTTACCTTGGTGATAAACAAACATCATCTGTCCTCAATGATTCACCAGATCTATCCCTTCCTCCAGTTGTTCTTGGTCTCTCAGTGTAAAACTCTGCCCTATCACGACCCACTGGCAATGACTGAGTAAAGCGATTGTTGTTCATATTTGTAGATGATGTATCTACCAACTTTTCTGCTGGCTAAAACAAATCAAACACATATTTATCACTGTGTTCCAGAAATAAAGAGATAAAACACTTTAGCCAACAATACCTATCAATATTTTTATATAATATAAAATAACTACACTAAGCCTTTGACATATCATACAGGAATGCAGGCCCATGCCACAAGAATTTATACTGGAGTCCCAGTCATCTAAAATGATACTTCCAGGTTCAAACCCTGACAGTATATAATGTTAAATAAATTCAAATGGGTATGGTTTAAAAAAAAAATTAATTACCTTTTGAAGGGATCTTGAGCTGGTAAATGAAGGCATTGGACTACTATAGACTCCTGCTCTTGGTCTCTCACTTGACCTGTCACCATGGTGAGGTAAAGGTCGTCCCGAGGTCACACCATCCTCAAGGTCATGCAAACTATGTCGGCTGTCATTCAAATTGTCGAGAAGTTCCTGAACATGGCGAGATACCCCTTCCGGTGAAGCACCATCTGAAATGTACAAAATATAAGTTTATTCTACATCCAAACATGTTTAGTTTTATCAAAACACATTTATCATTTCTGTTTTCTCACAGCTCTCTAATGCACTTGTCAATTTAACTCAGGTTCAACACGTTGGGGGATAAGGGGAAAAAGTTTTCCCCTCCCATGACCCAGACAATTCAGAGGCTTTGTTTTGGCACCAAATAGCAGGGGATTATGTCCTCCTTACAGACCAGGAGCAATAACTACTCAAGCCGAATCTTCCTACAAGGAAACCTTAATATTTTTACAATTCATTTGAAGAGTGGTGGTGGTGGTATTATAAATGATTGGTGCATTATGACAATATCCTTCAGTAAAAAAAAAAAAAATCTACTTGTCTTTTTATGAAAGCCACTGTAACTGAACATTTAAAGAAAATGAAAATCTTTTGCAGAAAGACTTGAAATAAACTGTGTAATTTGACAATGCCTAAAATCCTTTCAGATATTAAATCATATTATTACCATTGCATATGAAACAGGGTTTTTTTTAATTATGTATTCTTGTTCACCTGGTAAATGAAGGGGTGGAACTAATTCTCTTCCAAAAGATGACCTAGAATCTCTCTCAAATGACCTTGAATCTCTTCCTTCTGGTGACCTTTGCCGTGAACTGACCTTCACATTCTTACCAAGTGACATATCACGCTCTGCCTTTGACAATCTCATGCTCGGCTGTGTTCTTTCTGACCCACTTATGATGACTTCCCTTGAAGGATCTCGACTACCTGACCTTGAAAGGTCACTACTTCCACGTGGCGATGACCTTTCTCCTGACGGCCTTGACCTTTCTAATGTTGAATCCAGAGTAGCAAAGTCGTCATCTAATGTCCGTTTCAACGGTCGTGGTGGAGAATGGTCTTGTTCTTCTTCCTGCCTCACTTCACGATAAATTTCCCGCCAACTTTTAGAGTCAAATGCATTCTGCATGGTTGAAACATCTGTATGCTCACCTGGAAGGTAGATAGAAATATGATGAAAAGACCAAAAATATGGTGTTCATAATATCGAGAGTCCAATGAAATAACTAAAAACATTTTTCTATCATAAGTTTTTTTCTGTTATATTAAGTAAACTGTAATACATGTAACTGTCTTTATTTATTGTAAAGGCACTTGTGTTGAGTACCTCATATTAATTAAATTTGATTAGGTTTTTTAAAGAAACTAATAATTATAAAAGCAATTGTTAGACCAAGATTTTTAATGCTCCAATTTTTTAGAAATTTCATTCAATTATAATGAGAAACAAAAAGTTTTAAAAAATCCTCAATATGGATGCATCATTTAAAACTTACAGCTTAAGGGATGGAGGCTATTATCTTAAAAAGTACTTAATCAGTTAAAATAATTTGAAAATTTCCTAATAAAAGACTTTTACAAGATTTTTCAGCTTTTAATTAAGTACAAGTTTTGTAAGCTATATGATTAATTGTAATTAATTATTAGGAAAATATCAGCATTGTTAATAGAATAACAAGAATAAAAACATTTAATTTATTTATGAAAGAATTAAATCACAATCATTCTTTTGAAGTATGCAAACAGTCAGCCTTTCAGAAAACTTTAAACAACATCTTATTATATCAGTTTTTTGGGGTTTTTAATGGGCAACTAGGACAAAAATCGATGGCAATTTTATGGACTTTTAACTGGTCTGAGAACCAATATGTTTATTTTGTCATGACACCAAATTAACAAGTCGCAGGTGATGTTGGCAACACAATACATGTAACTCTATCTTAGTATCAGTATCATTTTGACAAAATGCATTCATTTTTTTAAAATATGAATATATTATCAATACATCAACACAAACGCAGATCTTCAAATAAAAACAATTGACATACATTTATAATATTCATAGAGAACATGTTCCTTTCTGCATGTAAATACCAGTACTGAGTAGGAGACTCATAAGGGCTTTAAGTAGAGCAGTTTTGAGTATGTGGGTATATTACTGTTAATTGTTTTTCCAGACAGCCAGACTACGAGTGTCTTACTAACTGCCTGAATAACATAATCAAAACAAAATACCCATGCCCTCTTCAAAGGACATTAAAACCATACTGGTAACACATATCTATTCTTCATAGGCAGTGTCTATTCTAAGATTTGAAAAATAGGGGGGATTTTTATCGAAATATGAGAATTTTTTACATTTGTTGATATTTTTCCTTCTTTCTCTATGTAAAATTTTCTCCCTGCCTCCGGAAAATAGGGGAGAATTCTCAAAAATATGAGTGAATCCCCCCATCCCCCCTCCTAGAATTGACACTGCATAGGACATAAGGAGGATAAATTCTACCTGATCTTTCAACTTTAGGTCTATCTGGTGACCTTTGACCTCTCTCTGGTGACCTTTGACCTCTCTCTGGTGACCTTTGACCTCTCTCTGGTGACCTTTGACCTCTCTCTGGTGATAAACTTCTATCAGGTGACCTTTGTCTAAAAACAAAGAGTACAGTTTTTGAGCAATAAAATATTAGATAGATATAATAAATATACATGTGATAAGAGAAATAACCTCACACAATTCACCACAATTATGACAAGAAGTGTCAATGCCAATAAAAGAAGAGTATGTTAAGAACTGGCTAATTAAAGGAGCTTCACTGATGTCAAAAGCCTAAAAATCATAAAATTTGAAATTCTTGCCTAGATCAAGTGAAGAAGTTAAAGTAGGAAAATCTAAAAAAGAAAATAAAGAAATATGGTAAGAATTAAATGGAAAATCAATTTATTCTGCGATTCTAAGCTCCATTTGAGTGAAAAGTGTTGCAACATTTTTCACTTTTAGGTTATTTTGCATTATATAATGATTATTCTTGAAAAAAGGGTTGAAGAAATGGTCTAAAAAAATTGGATTTAATTTACTGGTCCAAATCACATCAAAAGGTACACAAATATCAGAAAAACATTTTAGTTCCTTCATGCCAATAACCCTTTGTAGGGTCCTTTTAATTCATTTATGTGTTGCTATTAGATGTAAGATAATCCAACTGTATGTGGTCTTTGGACAAGTGGCTATGATTGCAAACTTCTAGTGTCTTGCCCCTCACCTCTTTGGCTTCTATTCTTATTGAGAATGTTGATTTTTTTACAGTGAGGCTCACAGTAGGACTAGTCTATGCTTAATGAGTTTCCCTCCATCCTTTCAGGCACTGAGAGTACAGACCCCTTACAGTAGGTCTCTAACTTTATGAGTTTATCATTATAGGGCCAAATACTTGTTAATTATAGAGTCAAACTCGAATGTTTTATTTAACTCGGGTGAGTTATGTCTTAGCATTGAAAGTCTTCTTTTTGGGTTTCAATGTGTCAAAAAATTTTTTTTTTAAACTTTTGCCAAAATTAATGCATATAGGGACACGTGGGGCTCTACCCCCATCATTTAAGCCAGAAAATTGCAGTATTTCATCTACAATTACACAACCATCTCACAAAAACCATCAAAATATACAAACCGTCCTGAACTGCCTCTGTCTGGGGACATTTTGGCAAGAGCTTCCTTGTGAATATCAAGTTTTTTCCTGATGGCAAGGTGTTGTTTCTGCAGCTCTAACTCCATCTGTTGCTGCAACCTTTGTATATTATACTGATGACGATCATACTGGGACCGTAGTTCCAAACGATGCTCATCTTCTATCTTGTGAAACATATCCGACCATTTTGCCTAAAAATAGAATTAAATGTTTCAGCTGACATAATAAACTTTTATGACATTCTTTTTTTTCCCTTGGGTTTTATGTTGCAGAAACACAGTAAATATGTCAAATGGCAACTTTCCAGCTTTACTGGTGGAGGAAGACATTAGGTGCATTATATCAGGCACAAACATGATTCAATTATTAGACTCAACAAAGCCATACTAAAATTAGACTGTTCGTTAGTTAGTATTTTATCTGAAAGTCAAAATACTAATTTGTTTATATAAATGTCATATTACTGCACGTTTCTGAGGCAGAATGTGCCTTTAAAGCCCTTAATGCATGATTTATATAATTCTTTTCATTGTTGTCATTCTTAGTGTTATTCTAACCTACAAATGTGCATTGTGCAGTACATTTTGTAACATTATATTTCCTATTCCATACTAAAATGAATTACCTGTTGATCTTGTAATGTTTTGAAGCCTGGAATGATAGCACTTGACTCGTGTGATCTAACACCTGGTACTGTGTGAGGTTTATCATGTTGCTGATGTGAGACACGATCATACGCACGTCTCAACAATTCTTCCTCGTATGACGTTGAACTTGGACGCTTGTAATCTGTTGTGACCTCTGACCTATGTGAGGCTTCAGATGTGTACCTGTGTTTACAATATAATGGGTTATGATGATAATTTATGTAATAGACTTGCCTTGCTGTAAATCTGGTACAGTCCATGCAAAGCTTAGGGGATATTCCAGTACCAAACTACAACCAGAGCAACCCATGCAGTGTTAACGCTTATTTGTAAATTGATAAGGGGCAACTTATGTTGACAAATACTTCTTAGTTAAAAAGGGGCATAACTCTAAAAAAGTTTATAGCTCTTTCCGAATAATGCTCTGACTTGTCTAAACAAGTGTGCTTTTGCCAATGATAAGTGCAAGTATTCAAAAGTCTTTTAATTTTTGGTAATCTCTTAAAATGCTTGAACTAATGAAAACTTACATATATTAGTTTTGGCATTGGCGAATGATAACAACAAAGACCAAGCTATCATACCTCTGCTAGAATTTCTTCCCTAGAAAAATATAATTAAAAATTGAGGTACCAACAAGTAATTCAAAGCTTATTTAGGATATGGCGACTAGATTGGCTCTAATACTGGTGAACCCTATCTGCTCATTCGAGTTCCAAGCAAGTTTAGAGTTATTTGAAAATGAAAAAAAATTTTATTAATACTATAAATCAAAAATAAATAAAAGGGTTTTCACTAAATTGGGGAAATTGACTTTTAATTTAACCCTTTAAACCAATTATAATAATAATAATTTTTTTTAAAAACCGGGGTGACAATGGCCCAGAAAACCACAATTTTTTTTTTCCAATCAAGTTACTTTTTTAAAAAGGAAACAATTTTTTAAAATCAAAACAACCCAAATTAATTCATTTTAAAAGGGAATTTTAAAAAGGGAAAAACCTAAACCTTCCCTTTTTTTATTAAATTTTGGGCTATCCCCCTTTCATGATTTTTGGTCCTTTTCCTTTTGTCATATTTAGTTTTTTTTGACAAAAATTTTTCCCCTTCCCCGTTTTTAAAATTTAGATCTTTCTTCATTTTTCAACCCTTTTCCTTTTACCCAATTTTTTGGGGCGACCGCTCTCTCAAAACCTTTTAAAATCATACGGTTTCGGCCCCAGCCTCTTAACTTTTTCTAACCCACTGTGTCCCTTTTTCAAAGTACCCGATTTCCCTTGGGCAGATCAAACCCTCTTGAAAACAACCTCTAAACCCTCTCAGTTGGGGAACGAAAACCCTGATACATTCCCCTTTCCTGTAATTTTTTGTGCATCTCCTCCTTAACTAGAAAAATAGATCTCGGGAAAAAAAAGAACTTTAGAAACCGAAAAGTACAAATTTTTAAAAAATGTTTGGGCTGGGGGTACACTTTCATTTCAAAAAGCTTTCTTTTCTTTTTTCTGTCCAAGTTTAACCCAAAAACCTTAGTTTTTTCATGTCCTTTTAAAAAACTTTTTACATTTTTATGCCAGGAGATTCATTGTTTCTAAACCGCTTTTCTCCCAGTTTCTTTAAGTATTTCAAATTTTTATACACCAACCAAAAGAAAATGAAACATTCTCTGAGAAATTTATTTTTCAAATGTCAACCTTTTTTTTCTGCCCCCTTTCTTTTATATCAGCAGAAAAATTTTTCTGAGATTTTTGTTTGACCTGGGGGATTTTTTAGGAAAAAATTTCATTCCCCCTTTCCCCTAATGGAGGAATAAGAAAACCCTCCGCCTCCCTTTGAAAATTTTTACAATTCTAAATTTTTTCCCTTTTTTTTCCCCGGCTTTATACGAACAGAGGAGGGGAAAAAACGAATGAAAGGAAAAACTAGAGTCCAGGGGTTTTATTACATTTTTTTCTGTATTTTTTTACTTTAGAATTTTTACCAGCTGAATCGGGCCCCCATCAAAAGTCTTTCATCAGTTTTTCCCCGGGCGCTTTCCCGAGGGTAAGACTTTAGATCTTGTCCCAATTCTATCTGTTCATAAATCATACAAATATTTTGGGTTTTAAAAATTTAAATTTTAGCATCCATTTTACCATCAGTGATATTTTCACCTTTTTCGGTCTCCCAAATTTTTCAAAAATGTTTCCAAATTTTCCCCGCACTTTGGTTTTTGATTCATTTAAATTTATTCTTTTAATAGAAAAAAGGGGGTGGGTTTATGGGTTCATACAAAATCTCTTTTGTACATCAAAAAATCCCTTTTTTCTTCTTTTTTTTAAAAAAATTGGTTTTCCTGACTCAGACGGTGATGCTGATTTTGGTGAAACTGGAGAAACTGGTTCCACCCCTTCTAATCCATAAAGCTTGAGAATATTTGTTTTCTCTTCCTCATTCATTGCCAAACTGGTCTTCAAACATCATCTTCATCCATCAATTTCAACTCAAACCACTGGACTCTTAATCTCTTTCCATGTACAAATTGTGGAAATAATCCAACCACAGAGGTCCCTTTTTCTGTTGGCTTCTCAAAAAGATCTTGGACCCTTGCATTTATTAGCCGTCATTTTTAATTCATTTTACATCAGAATTCAGATTCTTCCTCCTCCCTCCTCACATCAAAATGCAAACCATCAATCATCATCACCGGAATCCCATAGTTTTGAATACTTCGAAACAAACCTAAACTTAAACATCAAATTCCTTCTCTGCAATTTCTGATTCCAATCACTATCTAGTTTTCCTGAATCTAAACTTTCTTCTGACTTCACAATAATGCGACTGCATTACGATGGCTTGTTTTTTCACCACAGATTCTGCCCAAAACAACTACTTGTATCAGTAATGCAATAAGCAAAAGACTTTTCAGACCCAGCTTCTTTGGTCCCCTTTTCTGCAAAACGATATCAATCCTTGGAATTTTCATTTTTAAGAAGGCATACCATTTGATTCAGCAAAAACTATACCATCAAAGTTACCTTCCAACTCAAAATTCTTAATGTTGAACCTGTTTGTATTTAAAGTTATGGGTTCTGATATATTGCGAACCATCCAGGGTCAACTTGACCACCCTTTCAACATTAATATTCTAAAACAAGGCACAATGTCCTTTGTCCAAATCAATGGCAAGACTGTGCTGTCCTTTTCTTTCTGACACTTCCCATCCAGCAGTTTCTCTAAACCATACCTCTGTTCCAGAATCTTCTAATACCGAAGTTATTCCTCTGCATCCTAGTAATCAGCATAGGGTTCAGATACATCAATTAAACCAAAGGGTTAACGTTGTTTTGGAATCATTTGGATGATGAAGGGGGGTATTTGGAGTTGCTTCACCTGGTGTTTTTCATCTTGCCCACCCAGGTGGCACTCTAAATCTTGGGGGGTCTGGTATCATCAACTTCCTGGCAAGGAAAGATGGACCGGTAGTCATTCTTTTGGGGATTATTTCAAAAATGTTGACAAAATTACAATGGTGTATAAAATAGGGAAATTGGGAAAATTATATTAGGAATAGGCTACCGAAAAATAGACTTGTCCATGTTTTTCCAATCATTTTAAAACAAGCAAACAGGTGGATTTGTCCCAGACCCTTTTAAGTTTCTGCAGTTTTTGGCGCCAATTCAATAGTTTTAAGCAACCCCCAATTACATGAACTAACCCAGTCCCTTCAAAAATTAGCATTGACATTTTAGAAAGTTACTTGCCCCAATCTAATTTATTAGCACCGAATGAATTATCAAAAATTTTGATTCTTTTCCCCCTTCAATTTAAGGTAAATAAAAGAAACAAAGGGGAACTCCAATACAAGTCAGTTTTCATATTTTTTTTTAATTTTTGTTTTTTTGTAAAGTTTAGAGGTTTTTTTAAAAAAGTATTCAAATCCAAACTGACAAAATTTTTGGAAAATTTCAGGGTTTTTAAAACCCATTTGCTTGTATTTTTAAAAAAGTATAAAATGGCCCCTGAAAAAATTTTAAAGGTTTTCAAGGGAGCGCTCCGGGTTTTTAGGGAAAAAGGGAAATTTTTAGCCAAAAAAACATTCAAATAGAAACCCCATTTAGAAAATTGTTAAGGTTTCCCCTTTGATCCCCAAACCGGTCTAGTGAAATTTTTTAAAAATGTACTTTGTCCCCCCTTCATAAAAGGCATGGAAACAAAAAAATTTACAAATACTTGTCAAACAAACTTTTGGGATCGCAGGGAAATTTCCAAAACACAAAACACTTTTGTAAAAACCCAAATACAAAAAGGTGGGACAAAAGAAATCCCCCATGAATCATGCAGTTTAAGCCAATCATTAAAAAAGCCAATAAATGTGCATGTGAAGAATCAAAATTGGGATAATAGAAAGTAGGGTTTTTTTTTCATCAAAAAAACCCAAGGCACAACAGATATAGATGTTGTTTGTTTTTTGGTTAGTTTTGTGTTATGTTTTTTTTTGATTTTTTTCTTTTTCCGAAAAGTGCCAGGTTAAACAACCACTTATATTGAAATTTTCGGGCATGCGGAAATTTTTACTCGCCGTCGGGCGAGCAATATTGTATACTGGTCGGGGACAATCAACCAAAACACTTTTTTAAAAATTTTTTCCCTAAAGATTTAAAATTTTAAAAATAAAACCCTAAAAATTTGACACAGAAAAGCAGGTTTTTCCTAAAACAACTAGTTTGTTTATTTCTGTTATTGAACTTAAATTGACATAAGTGTTGAGGCTGTCAAGGGGTTAAAATTACAAAATTGTCTAATACAGTCCCATTTTCCCTGAAGATGGGTAATGATGTTTTTAAATTCATTTAAAATGCCCCTTTTTTGGATATTTTTTGTTTACTCTGAAAATGATTATAGTGGTATATGGGTCAGGTATTAAAGATCAAAAACCCCAATGAAAAGGAAAAAGGAATTTTTGGGGCCCATCCAGGTTTGGTGGTTGCCCGGTTTTGGGTTTCCCCCAAACAATTTTTCTCTTCCGGTAAAATTAATGCTACCCTGGTACGGCCAGGTGTGACTGAGGGGCTTTTGAGACTGGCAGCTAAAATGTAGTGATGAAATTTTTTATGTTGAATGATTTTTGACCATGTTAAAAAAATTTGATCATGTCAAAAAATTACGAGTCAAAAAAAGACAAAAAAAATAAACTTTTTTCAAAGGAAATCATTTTTCTGAATTCAAAATTTAGTAATGTGATAAGCTTGTTTTACCCCAAACACATTATTTTTTTTGATAAAAAAAAAACTAGTAA